GATTTGTTCAAACTTGAAGTAAAGAAATTAGATTTGAAGGAGCATCTAACACTATTTATTTTTATGGTGACAAAAAAAGGGCAGCATACTCTAGTCTTACTTTCTCATTAAATTATTTTCTTTTCATTTATGAATGAAATTTCCAATGTAAATCTATGAAATCCTTTCCTCTGCTCCTCTTCCATCTCTTTACCTTCTGTTTACCACAGCATGTTTCAAGGATGAGAAGGCGAGGGAGTGATGAGAGGGTTAGGAGGCGAGGTTAAGGGGGATGTGGGAGCATTATTCCATTTCCTTTCTTTCCCACCTGGAACCGTCATCTAAACTATTATTTTAAATAATCAGAAAATGAAGCTTGAACTTCAGCAGATTGTATAAAAATAAAGAACAGTGCTTAAGCAACACTGGATCTTTATCTCAATTATTTAGAAAGTAGGCTTCTCAAATGTAGCCATGAAGATATACATAGATATACTGCCTAGGAATCCTAAGTGTATGTACTGAAGTCTTAGTCTTTCTCTCTTTGTCATATATACAAGTACACATATATAGGCACATATATGAAAATCACTGATAGGAAATGGTACACAGATTTCTAGCATTAAGCTCCATGAAGGTAGGAAAAAATGTGTCTAGTTGGTTCATCATTCATTCATTCAACAAATAGTAATTGAACTTTATGTGCTAAGAGCTGTGTTGGATCCTGGGCATTCATTCAGAAAGGGGTAGATTTATGTTTTTACAAAACTGACATTGTGTGGAAAATGACTTGAAGAAGGACAAGAAGGTTTGTAAACAGACTGGATGAGAGTCTATTGTAGTCTAGGCAAGTGACAGTGGCTTAGCCTGGGTAAAAGGTTATATACTTATTGCAATGAGGAAAGCTGGGAAAGCTAAGACAGAGGTCAACACATCAGGAGTTCTGTCTTGAACACATTAAGTGTGAATTGCTTGGAAACAACCAAATAGAAATATCAGAAGCAATTAACATGTACAATCTGGAGCTCAAGAGAGAGGTCTTAGTCCAGAGAAGATATTCACTATATACTGGTTTGCCTGATTAATTATTCTTGTAAGGAAGGCATGGGATCAGTATTTTCATTGCCAGAAGACTAATGCAGACTAGATAATCTAATATGTTTAAACCTCTGTACCCATTATTTTGATAGCCTTCTCTCACATCCTTAATTCATTCAGAGCCCAGATTGATTGTTAGTTACAGTCAAGTGAATTATTTTCCAATTGCAATTTCCTCTGGACTGTTGGGTGATATCAGTGGTAAAGAATCCACCTGCCAATGCAGGAGATGTAAGAGATACAGGTTCGACCCCCGGGTCAGGTAGATCACCTGCAGGAGGGTATGGCAACCTATTCCATGGTGAATTGCCTGGAGAATTCCATGGACAGATGAGCCTGGCAGGCTACAGTCCATAGGGTCACAAAGAGTTGGACCCGACTGAAACACCCATGCACACTGATTTCACAGGTGTTCCTGTTAGAGGAAGGGGGACCCCTTCCAGGGCCCAAAAGTGGGCTCTTGTATAACGTATGGGAGTGAATTGTCTGAGGAGACATACATGCTGACAAAGCAAGAGACTTTATTGGGAAAAGGTGTCCGGGCAGAGAGCAGGAGGGTAAAGGAACCCAGGAGAACTGCTCTGCCATATGGCTCACAGTCTTGGGTTTTATGGTGATGGGATTAGTTTCTGGGTTGTCTCTAGCCAATCATTCTGACTCAGGGTCCTTCCTGGTGGCACATGCATTGCTCAATCAAGATGGATTCCAACAAGAAGGATTTGGGGAGGTGGCAGGACACGTGGCCTCTTCTTTTGATCCTACCTGAACAGCCTTGAAGAGCTCCTTTCCCAATTTTGAACCAGTCTATTGTTCCATGACCAGTTCTAACTGTTGCTTCTTAACCTGCACACAGGTTTCTCAGGAGGCAGGTAAGGTGGTCTGGTATTCCCATCTTTTTAAGAATTTTCTGCAGTTTGTTGTAAACTGGCTTTAGCATAGTCAATGAGGCAGAAGTAGATGTTTCTCTGGAATTCCTTTGCTTTTTCTATGATCCAGAGGATACTGGCGATTTAATCTTTGGTTCCTCAGCCTTTTCTAAGTCCAGCTTGTACATCTGGAAGTTCTCAGTTCACATACTATTGAAGCCTAGCTTGAAGGATTTCAAGCATTACCTGGCTAGCATGTGAAATGAGCCCAATTGTGCAGTAGTTTGGACATTCTTTGGCACTGACCTTCATTGGGATTGTAATGAACCTTTTCCAGTCTGGTGGCCACTGCTGAGCTTTCCAAATTTGCTGGTGTATTGAGAGCAGCACTTTCACAGCATCATCTTTTAGGATTTGAAATAGCTCACCTGGAATTCCATCACCTCCACTAGCTTTGTTCGTAGTGTTGCTTCTTAAGGCCCACTTGACTTCACATTCCAGGATGTCTGGCTCTAGGTGACTGATCACACCATCGTGGTTATCCAAGTCATTAAAGCTTTTTCTTACAGTTCTTCCATGTATTCTTGCCGTGTTTCTGTCCTTTATCGTGCTCATCCTTTCACAAAATATTCCCCTGATATCTCCAGTTTTCTTGAAGCAGTCTCTAGTCTTTCCCATAACACTTTTTTCCTCTACTTCTTTGTACTGTTCATTTAAGAAGGGCTTTTACGTCTCCTTGTTGTTCTCTGGAACTCTGCATTCAGTTGGATATATCTTTTCCTTCCTCCCTTGCTTTTTGCTTCTCTTCTTTCCTTAGCTATGTGTAAAGCCTCCTTAGACAACCACTTTGCCTTCTTGCATTTCTTTTTCTACTGGATGGTTTTGGTCACTGCCTCCTGTACAATGTTATGAACTTCTGTCCACAATTCCTCATGCACTCTGTGTACCAGATCTAATCCCTTGAATCTTTTTTTGTCACTTCCACTGTATAAACATAAAAGATTTGGTTTAGGTCATACTCGACTGGCCTAGTGGTTTTCCTTCCTTTCTTCACATTAAGCCTGAATTTTGCAATAAGGAGCTGATGATCTGAGCCACAGTCAGCTCTAGGTGCATATCTTCAGCTATTTTAACATTTCAAGGAATTGGAGCTTAAAAAAAATAACTAATTTTTTTTAAAAATGTATGAAATGGAGTGTTGTTTCTCTATTTTTTATTACTGTACTTACAGTTTTTACAACTATGGGCTGAGAAACAGAATATTCTAAAATAAGTTTGCCTCTGGACAAGATTTTATTCTGGCAATAGAATATTATTTATTCAAGGTTCTTGTAGTTCTGGAGCAGTGTTAGAGAATAAACAATAAAAAAAAAGGCATGAACCCTCTCTTCTTACATTCAACAGAAAACAGCACAGATGGAGCCAAAATAAATCATGTAACTGAAGTGTATAACTAGCAAAATAAGCCTTTCCAAGTTTTTATTTCCTGCGATCTTATTTTTATTGATTACACAAACAATATTATACATCATGCTCATTGTAAAATTAAAATGACCAAGTGCACATACATGCTTTTTAAAAATGAATTCACCATCATGACATGGCACCTATTTCTCAGAAGTAAACACTGTTGTCAGTTTAGTGAATTTGTCTTCAGACGTTTTTTCTTTGCATGTATGTGTCTCTACTTTCTCAACGTAAATTAGATTGTACTTGTTTTTGCTCTTTTCACTTGCCAATATACCTTAGACATTGAGCAATGTCATTTTTAAAGTGCTACATAATATCCCAGGGTATAAATATACAATAATTTACTTATTAGTGTGTAATTAAGTTGCTCCCAATTTTTTATTATGATAAGAATGTTTTGGTGAGTATCCTTATAGCATATATATTTGTACTCATATGTAAATATGTTTGTAGGATCAATTCCTAGAAGTGGAACTTTTAGCTTAAAAATTATGCATATCCATTTTTTGGTTGATAACTGCCAAACTGAAGATCTTTCTACAGCACGATTCCTATTACAACAGATCATAGGGGGACCACTCAAACCATTAATCAGTAACTATAAAGCAGAGGTCTCAAAGCATCGTCCCTAGACCAGCAGCATCAGTATCACCCAGGAACCTATTAGGAACACAGTTTCTTGGGTTCCATCCCTGATATACTATAGCAGTCTGAGTTCTCCAGACTGATGTCTCCTTTTGAGTCCAAAAGCAGAAGAAAATTGATGTCTCTGCTGGAAAACAATCAGGCAGAAGGAATTCTCTCACTTAGACCTTTTCTATTCAAGCCTTCAATTGATTGGATGAGGTCCATCCACCTAATTAGGGAGGGCACTTTGCTCTGCTCAGCCTACTCATTGAAATGCTAACCTCATCCAGAAACACCTGCACAGACACACCCAGAAAAATGTTTTACTAAATATCCAAGCACCACAGTCTATTCAAATTGACACATAAAATTAACCCTAGTATATACTGAATCTGAACTCTGAGCCTGCGACCTAGCAATCTGTTTTAATACTCTCAAGGTGATTTTGGGTTTTCCTTGGTGGTTCAGATGGTAAAGAATCTGCCTGCGGTGCAGGAGACCCGGCTTCGATCCCTGGGTCAGAAAGATCCCCTGGAGAAGGAAATGGCAGCCAACTCCAGTATTTTTGTTTGGAGAATTCCATGGACGGGGAGACTGGCAGGCTACAGTCCATGTGATCATAAAGAGTCAGAAATGACTGAGCAACTAACACAACAAACATAGGCAATTTCAACATACACCAGAGTTTGAAAACCGCTGCTCAAGAGTGGGCTTTCTGGCTACTCAGAATGCTGCTTGGACCTATGGGAAAATTCTCTTTAAGAACCACAACTTGTCTCGATTGGTAATTAATCAAGGTAAATGATACCCATCTCATTTGCAGGCTAGCTTAGAGAAAGGGCATTGCCACCAGGAACTGAAGAGAGATTAATTTTAGTTCTTCTCTGTGCTAGAACTTTATTCAGATCAGTTTAAGGACCGGGTGCTTTCTCTGAAGAAATTTCCTTCTGTTGATTTCAGACCTGCAATCTTCAGTAAACCTGGACCTGTATTGTGGAGCTGAGCGAGTGTGCAGGGCCTTCTCTGCCCTTGTTGATCAGATCACCTTGAACAACCTGAAGTCAAAAGGAACCCAGATTCCAATGCCCTTAAGGTGATGACGAAACATGTTTTCAAAATCTGGACTGACCGCACTAAACCTTCTACCTCTTTCTTGATAGTCTGCTATGAAGCATGACACAAATTTTATTTTTTTAATCTCTCTACTCTTGTGACTTAGTTCTTCAGAGTAAAGCCTTGGGAGTGAGGAGGGGTAGAGGGAAATGGAAAGAAGAGGCAATTCAAATCTAGTTGTGCTGTACTTCCAACAGAGGCCCTTTCTTTGAATACATTGGTAGTTGTATCCAAGTGTGTGGTCTACAGGAATTTGTGAAACTATCTTCTTCAATATCTAAATTTCTGAATTGATGGCCTAATTTTTTGTCCAGATACTTCTTCTGGAGAACAGGCTTGGGAAAGAACAAAATAAACACACATGCGATTGCATGCAGAACAAGTCAGATCTGAATAAACCCTGTGGATTCTATCAATGTCAATTCTCTGGTTGTGTTATTGTACTATAGTTATGCAAGATGTTATAACAGAGGGAACCTGGAGGAAAGGTAAATAGGATGTCTCTGTATTATCTCTTACAATGTGTATGACTCAGCAGTTATCTCAAAATAAATTTATTTTAAAACATAAATGTTTCTTACTAAAATCCCACATTCAATGAATCTGATCAAAGTACTTCTGTGCTTCCCTCCTCTGTATGTATGATTAGGGTATTTAACTGAACAAAGTTCAAAGTAGTAACTAACATTTTTTAACTGTGAGAGTGTTTAGCTTCTATAATATCTAAATTTCTGAATTGATGGCCTAATTTTTTGTCCAGATACTTCTTCTGGAGAACAGGCTTGGGAAAGAACAAAATAAACACACATGCGAATGCGTGCAGAACCAGTCAGATCTGAATAAACCCTGTGGATTCTATCAATGTCAATTCTCTTGTTGTGTTATTGTACTATAGTTATGCAAGATGTTATAACAGAGGGAACCTGGAGGAAGGGTAAATAAGATGTCTCTGTATTATCTCTTACAATGTGTATGACTCAGCAGTTATCTCAAAATAAATTTATTTTAAAACATAAATGTTTCTTACTAAACTCCCACATTCAATGAATCTGATCAAAGTACTTCTGTGCTTCCCTCCTCTGTGTGTATGATTAGGGTATTTAACTGAACAAAGTTCAAAGTAGTAACTAACATTTTTTAACTGTGAGAGTGTTTAGCTTCTACACACCGTATATGTATTGGCTCATTTAAACCTCACAACAAACCTAGTAAATAGATATCTCATTTTATAAGAAAATTAAGGCACAAAGATGATCAGTAACTTGTCCAAAGTCGTCACTACTTGATGAAGTTGAGCCTCGAACCAGCTCTTGAGCCTGTACTCTAACCACTGCTTTCAACTTTGAATAAAAATTGCTTTGGTTCCATTATTTCACCTATTGTCTGGATGTGCAGTTCGTATTACATTTAGAGAGACTGTGTGCTCTTTTTCATATGATCCATAACTTCTAGTAATGTTTCCAAAGTGAAATTATGTCCAACTGGGTAAGATTAAGACTATGTTACTCCTGTTCAATCTCATCCTAATCTTTTTTCAGCCTAACATGATTTTTTTTGTTTTGTTTTGTTTTGTTATTCAGCATATTCACTCTTTCTTACTTCCTCCCAGCTTATTCCTTGCAAGTTTGATAAGGATGCCCCAGAGCACTGGTCAGCAAACTACAGCCCAAGGGTCAAATCTGCCCACTGCCAGTTTTGTGCTGGCTGTGCATAAAGAGAGGTTACTACATTAAAAAAATAATAATAATAACTGGAAAATGTAAAATGAAGAATAATGTTTTCTAACACTTGAAAGTGACTTGGAGTCAAATTTCAGTGTCCACAAGCCAAGTTTTATTGGGACACTGCCATGTTCATGTATTTACATGTTGTTTACAGCTGCTTGCCTTCTACAAAGACAGAATTGATTAATTGCACCAGAGACTAGATGGCTCACAAAGCGTCAGAAAAAAATGGGCAGCCCCTCTCGTGTAGGACCGAGGTGTAGGAGTAAGGGGCAAGCCTTGCAAGAATGGCATCTCTTCAATGATGTAAAACAGATAATAAGTTTATGTGATACTTTTTAAGAAATTGATATAAGACATTAGTGAAAGTAGCACAAAAGTAAAACCATGACCCTCTGTAGAAATGGTAGTCAAAGAATGGCAGCTCTTAATGTGCTCATTCTTCTAATCAAGTTAAAGCTGAGGCTGGGCCCCCTTCTCACTTCCTTCCCCAGACTTCCTTCCCCTATTGTCAGGATTTGGTGAATCTTCTGATGCAGCTATGTCTTTTAATATTAACCCTTTGGATAAGATTTATCATTTAAGGAGGCCCTAAATCTTCAGTGAAAACACTTACTGAGACTTCCTTTGGATCTAGGAAAGCAAGTGAATTGCTAACATAGCTGAAATTCACACTGGTTTTCAACCACCAGTTATAATAGTCAGAATGATTGGCTAGATTAACATAATTAGAGATAAAAATAGCATTATGCCTGGAACGCAAATAAATTTGCTAATTGGACTTCTTTGCAATGAACCTTATTCAGGCCTGGTCATTTTGAGGAAAAATATTTTTATGGGTTCTTTTCTTATAATGCTGCTTTTATTTTTAGTTTGTTTTTCAAAGCAAAGTGTTATCAATTATAGCCGTAATATTTAATCCAATAGAAAATATACTAATTGGAGAAAAAATTTATACTTACTGCTATTTTGTTAGAGTTTGGATTATCATTAATGGTAACACTGAATATTGAAATAAAAAGACTTCAATGACATTACTTGGGGTCCAGAGCTTTTATTAATCTTGTTTCTGTTAGTAGAATTGCTTCATTTTGTTTTTCACATCACTCAGTTCAAAATATTCAAAAATATTCTTCCAAACAAAATTCAGGTAATTAATAAGTATAGTATTATATGCCTGTGCATAAGCAATTCAGTGATTGATGTCTCTGAAGCCATGCAGTGTATTCAAATTAAATGTCTAGCACTCCAGTTCATTAACAATGTCAAGCATCCCAAAACAATGACCAAAATGAATATAAAGAATCTGAGTAGCCCCATCCAACCCCCTCCAGTATTCTTGCCTGGAGAATCCCATGGACAGAGGAGTCTGGGTCGCAAAGAGTCAGACAAAACTGAAGCAACTTAGCATGCACAGGTCCTCTCTTTCAAACAGTGGGATGATCTGACAGCAGTGTCACCATTTGAAGGAACGTGCTAGCAGCACTCTGAGAGAATGTGGTTTAATATTTATCTTTTTACACTCCCATCATTTCAAGTAAATGAATGATCAATAGTCAAGAAAAATATATATATTTGTTTAAATGCGAAGATGTGCGTAGCTCTGAGGTTAGACTTATTTTCTCTTTATTTCCAGGCCACTGGTCACTTTTCCAATGAACTTTGATCTGCTCCTATGCACATGCATGCTTATCAAGTCTTCAATCAACTCTTTCTTCTTTAGGGAAGGGGTTCTTGGTTGCTGAGAATAGGCACCTGAAAGTAGAAAAAAGGAACTAATCATTAGATCACCAAAATATTTTCAGGCTGATTAAACATTAATGACTTGGTTTTAAAAAGAAAATTTTCTGCCACTCTATTTCTGCTACTCTGCTATTAAGGTTCTGTACAAATTAATTGCAAAGGTATATATGTAAATTTTTATTTATGCAAAATTTTGTGTTCTATAAAGTTTAATTATGTAATATGAATTAAGTAGATTATAAGAAATACATTTCCTATTGGATTAATATGTATTAAAGTACACTTTTCTGATTAGAAAAGTAAAAAATTGTTATATAATATAAAAATTAAAGAAAAACTTTAAACCATCTATAGTATAATCTTCCAAAGAGAATCATAATACATACTTTATGCCATAATTTAATTTATCATTACCTGACTCTGGGACATTTAGATTATTTCCGATTTTCTGTTACTATAAATAATATTGCAGCAGTGAAGGACCTTGTACTGCAAAATTGACTACAGCTCCAAATGTTTCTTTAGAAAGATTTCTAGATAAGTAATTTCTGAATATGCTACTTAAAAAATTTCTTATAGTGAGTAAAGTAGAAAATCAAGCATTTGTAAATCTAATTTGTATTTCTAAAGCATTGTTTTGTCTTCTGCTTAGTGTTTAAAAAATAAGCACTATGAACATTTGTCAGCTAGTTAGACACCAACTTCAAACATCATCAAATTCTAAATCTAAATGTTAATTTTCATGTCAAAGAGGAAAGCAAAGACTCACAACTTTTCTAGACCATCCAAACTCCCAAGCTCAGGAAGGCAAGTTTTTCTGTTCCTCTCAGGGGCAGAGCAAGATTTGTTGAAGCAAGGAATCATCATTTTTGATACAAACAAGGATATGCTTAAAAATCCTTTCATTTGTATTGAAGCCTTTACTAACCCATAAGTTAACCTGAACTCTGTTATTTTCTACTTGGGAGACATTATCAGCTTACACTTTTCCTAAATCAATTTATCATTTTCTCTCTCATTCTCTCTGCCTATCTGCCTACACAGAATCCATCATAATTTAGTACTTAAGCCTGGGTATAACCTCTTCAGTCTTCTGAATATTTCAGCATTCGGTTTAGCTCGTGTTTTTCTAGACAAATTAATGATGCTCTTCTGAGTCTTTTCTCAAACGATGATATCTTTAGGTCTCAGAATTTTGGCAATTCTCATTTCTGGATCACCTCTGTTCCTGCTTATCATCATTATAAAGCACCACAGTGTCTAGGTCATCACTAAGCTCAGGAAGTTATCCTTGGAGTAAAAAGCTCTTTCAGATTCTTCCTATAGGTAAATCCATGCTTTTCATACATTTATTTTTTATAAGATCACAGAACATCAGAACATAGAACCATAGAGACATTACAGGTCTTCTAATTTTTCCATATCCCTCTTTTTCAGATGAAGAAACTAAGGGTTAAATAAGTCAATTAGCTTGCCCAAGTTTATATAGCTATTTGATATCTCTTGTTTTTATATTTGCTGACTCAATACTAACAAATATATTAAAAAAAACAAATATATTAACATACAAAGTTATATAGAAGTTCTGTGTGTTTAATAAGGCATGATTCATTGCAACATTATTCAAGTGTATTTAAACTATTTAACTTGAAGACATCAAAATAGCAAGAACCTTTTTGTGTATTATGGAGACACTTATTTTAGTTCTTCTCTTCTGCTCTGATGA